CCGAGTAGGACCCTGGCAGAGACTGGCATGTTTTCTCCCTCCTGGTCTTTTGTTTGGGAGCTTCAAAAGCTTTCTTCAGCCCAAACATCACAGCGACTGATGCCAAGAGACATCGGCACACTTAGGGATCCGCAGAGTCTGCGCAGTTCGCGTGACAGACGTCAGCAACTCAGCATTTTGGCTAATATACTTTATTTACATATAAACACACACGGAGCACTGCAACATGGCTCCCTCTGTCTCTAGCATCAGACAGCAAAGAGAAAAGGAACAGAGGACAATAGTCCCACTTCACGGAACACAGTAACACAAACATCCCGCCTCTGTCACTTCCCACTCTGTGGAGTCAAAACATATACCGTCATGTGATAGACAAAAATCCCATGACTGCAATCATGGAGCAGGAATTCTAACAGGAACAGGGGCGCATGAAAGCCCCACCCCCAACATTCTCACACATATTGGCTCCACTTCCAACATTTGCATGATGAGGACAAAAATCTGTGTTATCAGGGTTCCTGATCATGGGTAGCTTCTAAGCACATTCACTCAAACACACTTAGAATGCCTCTTCCGTCTTTTGGACTGAATGTAAGAATGGTGCAGTAGATCTGACAATATGCTGGGACACTGGGGACAGCTCCTGCCTCCTCTCCACTTCAAACTCATATGACTAGGTCTAGAGTTTTGCAAGAACTGCATTTAGGATTCCCAACCTGTGCTTGCAATATTCTTGGGAAGGGTCAGGCTTGGTACTTGGACTGGAGAGACTATGTGAACCAGCCTTGAGAGGAAACTAAATGGATTGCTGAACAGGATAATTAAAGAACATTTATGCAATGCTATTAAAGGTAATGGATGTGTGGATGTTTAGAAAAAATCATCCAAGCCCTTTTCTTTGCCCTTGCTAACCTTGTTTGCATGTTCCCTGACATATGTGCCCATCTGAATTGAACCAAAGTGTAGTTTTCTCTAAGTAATGAATCCAGATGTGAATGTGGAAGGTAAAGTATTGGACACCTTAAGCATGTTAAAAATTTAATCAAATGCTAAAATACATCTCCTTCTTCCAACACAATATTTCTTACAGAAGAAGAAAATCCCAATTCTATTGAACTTGAAACTCAAATTTCAGATTCAGCATCAGGCATACACATAAGCAGTTTGTATTCATGATTTTGAATTGGATAAACATAAAATCAACATTGTGCCACTAATAAGAGTTTTCCAGCACAGTGGTACCTCAGGTTACATATGCTTCAGGTAACATACGCTTCAGGTTACAGACTCCGCTAACCCAGAAATAGTACCTCAGGTTAAGAACTTTGCTTCAGGATGAGAACAGAAATCGTGCTCCGGCGCAGCAGCAGCAGGAGGTCCCATTAGCTAAAGTGGTGCTTCAGGTTAAGAACGGACCTCCGGAACGAATTAAGTACATAGAATCTCCAGTTTCTGGTTTGTTCTCTCTCCCCGCCCCCGGCATCATAGAGTTACCGTATATATGTATTATGACAAGCCTTTCTGTTACGAATGAATGACTCTTCAGTAGGAAAGAATTATCAACAAGATAATGAGTCATTTGCTGCTTTTTCTGATTATACTGCTTTGTGCTACAGGTGTGAGAGCACAGCTGGCATTTAGAGAAAAATCAAAGCTCACTTTACATAAAAAGAATAGACTGATCGATGCATTAGCTTTTGTGCCCTTTGACGGAAAGCAAACCAGCATAAAAATCCATGTCAAATAAAATTTTAAAAGTTGCCAGTCAGACCTCAATGATAAGAAAACCAATATTGAAGTGATGGAGTTCATTGTGACTGTTTTACAAATGCTAATAATAATAATAATAATAATAATAATAATAATACCTGGACACGCACACCCCTACCCTCATGGGAGATGATGTATTTATTCATGTGGTTCTGTTGTTATGTTTAATGTTCTTGCTTTTGTTCTACTCTGTTCTGCTGTCATAAACAAGTGGAATTGTCACATGTGAGGTCTGAGGGTTCTGGGCTATTGTTGCTAAGGGAACTGGAATATTTGGAGTGTGGCAGCTGGAGGGCAGTTAAGCCAGTAGAGGAGAGGAGAGGAGTAAACGCTTAACTGGTGTAGTGTGTGGAGAACATCTGGGTAATGGGAGTTCTTGGAGTAGCCCTGGCCTCTGGCAAAGATGGAGCCAAACAATGACATGTGATAAAATGGCTGCTAGGAGCATTTCAGTGTCAAGGAGAAGCAAGGGAACATTGCCTCAGGAAACACCAGGACAACACCATAGCATTGAAAGGGTCTTGACAAGGAAAATAAGATTACAGCATCATGTATTACACGCTATAAATTGTGAAATGGCTATTAATGCCATTGCATGCTGTCTACTAAATATTGTCAGAAAAGTAACAAGGCAATTCTAGTGGTCTATTCAAAAGCAAGTCCAATTGAGTTCATTGGGGCTTCCTCCCAGATAAATGTGAATAGGATCACAATTTAACTACTGTTGCACACCAGTTGTCAAATATTGTAACATAGTATCTACTGTTCCATGTTAGTTCCCAGGTACAGTGGTACCTCAGGTTACAAACATCTCAGGTTACAGACTCCTCTAACCCGAAAGTAGTACCTCGGGTTAAGAACTTTACCTCAGGATGAGAGCAGAAATCGTGCAGTGGCAGTGGGAGGCCCCATTAGCTAAAGTGGTACCTCAGATTAAGAACGGTTTCAGGTTAAGAACAGACCTCCGGAACGAATTAAGTACTTAACCCGAGGTACCACTGTACTGTCAAATACAGTCGTACCTTGGTTCTCGAAGGGAATCCTTTCCAGAAGTCCATTCAACTTCCAAAAAAATTCGAAAACCAAGGTGTGGCTTCCAATTGGCTGCAGGAGCTTCCTGGACTCAGTCAGAAGCTGCGGCAGACATTCAGCTTCCAAAAAAAGTTCACAAACTGGAACACTCACTTCCGGGCTTGCGGCGTTCAGAAGCCAAAATGTTCGAGTTGCAGGGCATTAAAAAACCAGGGTACGACTGTACAGAGTTTCACAGTGTGGTGACTGTCAAATATCATCAATTTTAAAATGTTAGTGTTGAAATCAGGGAATAGTGGTTCAAAATGCAAATAATTCAGGAGAAACTGGGGAGCAAATATTGTTTCCATTTTAGCTAGGGTATAAAACCCAAAGGGAGGCTTCTGATCTTTGTGGAGAAAGTAGCTAGTTAAATGAATGGTTTGAAATACTCTGCGAAGAGTTTGGATTTGATATCCCACTTTATCACTACCCAGAGGAGTCTCAAAGCAGCTAACATTCTCCTTTCCCTTCCACCCCCACAACAAACATTCTGTGAGGTGAGTAGGGCTGAGAGACTTCAGAGAAGTGTGACTGGCCCAAGGTCACCCAGCAGCTGCATGTGGAGGAGCAGGGAAGCGAACCCGGTTCACCAGATTACGAGTCTATCACTCTTAACCACTACACCACACTGCAAAAGGGGCACCATCAGTGCAGAACTTGGGGGCAGAATGGACAGGGAAGCAGCAGGGTTGACTTACCTCAGTCTGAGTTAAATAACACACATTGCTATCTAAAGTGGGTGGGGGCATAAAACCACTGAGTTCAGATTTCAAAACTGTACCTCTGCCCAACGAAGGTACAATGAAGAGCAGATCATAACTTGAGCAGTTTCATTATGTTGTTGAATGCCATGCATCATTAATAACATTGCAGTGTGAATGAATGAATGAATCTTTATTTGCATCATCCATTAGCCATAGCAATAAAACAACAATACGATCTACAAAGAATAGAAATAAAAAGTCAATTATATAAAATACATTTTAGGGTTTTGAATCAGTAGTCAAATAGTGGATCTTATTCTGATTGCCCCAGCTAAAAACCTTTCAACCTGTCACCTGCTCAGCTTGATTTGCCAAGTGAAAGGACACTGTGGCAGTGGTTGGGCAACCCGGAATGGACAATAAAAGAGGGGGGATAATCTCATTCCTCAAGTCTTTATAAAGAGTGCAAGGCAGAAGAGCATGTGACACCGATTCGGTACTGCAATCTCCACAGGGGCATAAGCATTTTTTTGTCTGGAATCTGTTGGAATCTTTCATCGAGTACAGCTGAGGGCAGTACATTCAATCTTGCAAGAGTAAAAGCGTGTCTATGTTTAGAATTACTAGGTTATGCAGATTGGGTGCCAGCGAGTCGAAATAGGAAGGTGGCAACTAGTCATACCATGGACAAAATTTCCTTATTGTGGAAATTCCTGTAAAAATACCAACCATTTGTACAGCGACATAAGCCTCTTTCCCTTTCAGATCTTGGCGATTCCCCTCCCACCCAATAACTCTGGATTTGTAATGATTTAAAGTGCAGGCAATCGCATGAAAAGAACAAGCTACGTAAATGGTAAAACAGACCTTTATCAACAAGCTCATCACAAACCAACCCCAAGAGCTATTGAAAGACAAGCTCCTTGAAAGACGTTTTCCATTCAGCTTCATAGAGAATGCTTAATTACTTCTTTTTCCACAATTAGCCACTAATTAGAGGTGAACAAATGCATCCCCTCTAGTAAAGCCATCTAGATTTTAGAGTCCCTCATCATTTAGGAACTTGGCACTGTACAGTAATTTTATCTAGTCTAACGTAAAAAGAAGGAAAGTGATTAGGGTTTGCAACCTCTCAGAACTGTCAAGTCATCCAATGCAAGTTTTTAGAGCTTCGAAAGCAAATTGTCCCAATTAAAACTAATGGAGACCAATTAGTCTTTTAGCTGATGAAATAGTAATCAATGCTCCTTTTTAAAGCTGTTGAAGCTTCTAATGAGGATGCGGCTCTTTCTGAAGCAAGAGAAACATTGGTTTATGAAAACAAACCCTGCTAAACTATTAGAGAGGTGCTCAGAAGAGGTAATTAATATTGTTAAATGCTCATCACTTCCCCACAAAATGATAAGCTAAGGAACAGCACTACAGGGTTTCGTTTCCTTTGGACAAGAGAGCTGCTAAATAGCTCAGTGGGTAAAGCACAAGTCTCGTAATCTCAGGGTTGTGTGTTCGAGCCCCACATTGGGTGAAATATTCCTGCACTGCAGGGGTTGGACTAGATGGCCCTTGGGGTCCCTTCTAACTCTACAATTCTATGAAAGTTATGCTGCTTATATATTTACAAATACACAAGCAGAGCCCATTGTAAGGAAGCAGGCTTCTAAAACCAGGGCTGGATCTACACCGACTTATTTAACGTTATTAGAACGATATTAGATATACCATATGTTCCAGCGTATTAGGCGACTGGGCGTATAAGACGACCCCCAACTTTTGCTGTTAAATTATAGAATTTGGCCGCCCGCCAAGCGCCGCCAGGGGCAGAGCGCGCACCCTTTCACTGTCTCTGCCGTCATAGCAGCAGCAGCAGCCCGAGGCGAGGTGTTTGGTGGGTGGAACGAAACTGAAACCCACCACCCAGAGAGAGGGAGGCCTGGCCCAGCTCCCTCCCTCCCTCCGGGAAAAGGCCACGAGTGGTTGCCTCGGCCTCCGCCACCCTCACCTCTGGGGATGCCCAGCTCCTTGGAGCCCCAGCCGAAGCCGTGCACCACCTCGCCGCAGCAGGCTCTTCATGGCGCCCGTGAGCTGAGCGAAGCCCTGCGTGGCCACGGCGGAGGCCGAATCCGGCTCCCACAACGGCAGCAGCAGGCGGGTGTGTGGGCGGGTGAGCACTGCGCTCAGAAGGACTTTCTGCGGTGAGAAGAGGGTGGCGGCCAACGAACATGCGCTGTGCCGGTACAGAAGAGACGGGGCCTTGCGCTGCGTCACAGAGGCTATGTCCCCTTCTGTGGGGAGGGAGGAGGGGTGACGGCAGAAGGGACGCCTCTGCTCACCGGATCCCTCGCCTCCTTCCCAACAGGTGGCTCCACAGGTGGCTCCACAGGTGGCATATAAGACAACTCCCAACTTTTGGGGTGATTTTCCTGGGTTAAAAAGTCGTCTTATACGCCGGAACATACAGTATCTTTCTAAAACATCACAGGACATACATCAAAAGAAGTAATTACCTGTTTTCTTTCTAAAAACGCTTTTTCCCTGTTCCCAGTTCCTGGCACAACCATGAATCCTGCAACAAGTTTCCAAAAAAAGTAACTGTGGCCAAAAGGCTTCACTTACGCATTTTACTTATTTTAATCAATGAATAGCCTGCCACTGGTAATTTCAAGAAATTACAAGGCAGCTCACAAGTCTCAAAGAAGAACAAACCAATTTAATCAATCCATATAAAAAGAAAATAGGAAACATGCTAGCATGATAACCTAAGAAGCCAGTATAAAATAGGAAAAAGTGGTCGTACTATGGCGGCTCTGTCCCTGTCCCTGACACAGACTCTCCCATTTGCAGAGAATGAACTAAATACAGTGGTACCTTGGTTCTCAAACGCCTTGGTTCCCAAATGCCAAAAAAAAAACGGAAGTAAGTGCTCCGGTTTTCGAATGTTTTTCAGAAGCTGAACGTTCAATGTGGCTGTCAGCTATTGTTTCTGGAGCACCTGCACCAATCAGAAGCTGCGCCTTGGTTTTTGAACATTTTGGAAGTCTAACAGACTTCTGGAATGGATTAAGTTTGGCGCTTTTCTTTTTGCTATTTATTTTGTGTTCTTGAGGCTTTTTTGGTTAGTTTGTTTTTGTGACTGTGTGGAACCCAGTTCAGCTACTGATTGTGTGACTGAGAGGAAATGGATAAAAGTCCCCCTATCCAAACAATGACTATCATCAGTGCAGGTAAGGGGATTTTTTTTTTTTTAAATCATCGACAATACTGTCTTATTTATTTTATAGTACAGTGGTGCCTCGCAAGACGAAATTAATCCGTTCCGCGAGAGTCTTCGTCTAGCGGTTTTTTTGTCTTGCGAAGCAAGCCCATTGACGGATTAGCGCTATTAGCGCTATTAGCGGTTTAGCGGCTATTAAAGGCTTAAAGGCTTAGGGGATTAGCTGCTAAAAGGCTATTAAAGGCTATTAAAGGCTTAGCAGATTAGATAAAGGGGGACAAGCGAAAAAAAAATCTCTAGACTCGCAAGGTATTTTCGTCTTGCGAAGCAAGCCCATAGGGGAATTCGTCCTGCGAAGCAACTTCAAAACGGAAAACCCTTTCGTCTAGCGGTTTTTCCGTCTTGCGAGGCATTCGTCTTGCGGGGCACCACTGTACAGTACATTGATTATTGCTTTCATTTTATGGATCAATGATCTCAATAGATAGTAAGATTCATGTTAAATTTCTGTTTTAGGGGTTGTTTTTAGAAGTCTGGAATGGATTAATCTGTTTTGTATTACTTTCTATAGGAAAGCGTGTCTTGGTTTTGGAAGACTTTAGTTTTGGATAGGACTTCCGGAACGGATTAAGTTTGAGAACCAAGGTATGTTTCCGAGCACAATTCAAAGTGTTGGTGCTGACCTTTAAAGCCCTAAACAGCCTCAGTCCTGTATACCTGAAGGAGCATCCCCACGCCCATCATCCAGCCTGGACACTGAGGTCCAGAGCCAAGGGCCTTCTGGCGGTTCCCTCACTGCGAGAAGTGAGGTTACAGGGAATCAGGCAGAGGGCCTTCTCGGTAGTAGTGCCTGCCCTGTGGAATGCCTTCCAAGCAGATGTCAAGGCAATAAACAACTATTTTACTTTTAAAAGACAACTGAAGGCAGCCCTGTTTAGGGAAGTTTTTAATGTCTGTCACTGTATTGTTTTAAATATTCGGTTGGAAGCCGCCCAGAGTGTCTGGGGAAACCCAGCCAGATGGGCGGGGTATAAATAATAAATTATTGCTATTATTATTATTATTATTATTATTATTATTATTCCACTGTATAGTAAAGGTACCCTTAGCTTCCTAAGCCATCTAGGCAGCTAAGGGTAATGCTGGATGATATGTGTAATTGGGTTCTTCAGTACAACCACATCCAAAACAGGTTTCACACCTTGACCCAAGTCTCAGCCAACAGCCAAAAAAAATCCATCTTGCTTACCCTGTTAGTTTGCAGTGCTTTCCTTCTCCATCTCTCATTCTGTCTTCTTGACCAAATTCAAAATGCAGGAGCTTCTCCCTGTGACTGAGTCCCTCCCCTAGTCTCTGATGGGTACCATCTTTCAAAGATGGGGAAGGAGATTTCCAGCCTTTCAAAAAACAAACAAACAATATTTGTTTGCTAAGTCCCTGATCGCTCATTAGTTTGTCATATAAAGTCATAGCAATAAGTCCATTTATGCTAACCACCTGCCAAATATAACATTTAGCAGGATACCAAAGTATGCTGCCTGTTTTCTGAGTCAAGGCTTTGGAACTTTGAAGACTACCATTGCAAGAATAAAGCATCACATAAGGGCAATTATGACACCATTATAAGTCAAGGGCATAGTCAGAAGCCATGAATGACTTCTGCTATGGTGAAGAGAAAGGCTGCGCAACCTCACATTATTTTTAAAAATGGAATAGTTTTCTAGCACAGGCATAGTCAACTGTGGCTTCCCAGATATTGTCAAACTCCAACTTGTTAAAGTTAAATTTTTAATGTGCATAAAATGCAATGTTTGTATAAAAAAGGTAAAGGTAAAGGACTCCTGACAGTTAAGTCCAGTCGCGAACGACTCTGGGGTTGCGGCGCTCATCTCACTTTATTGGCCAAGGAAGTCCGCAGACAGTTTTTCTGGGTCATGTGGCCAGCATGACTAAGCCGCTTCCAGCAAAACCAGAGCAGTGTATGGAAGCACCATTTTCCTTCCCTCCGGAGCGGTACCTATTTATCTACTTGCACTTTGACGTGCCTTCGAACTGCTAGGTTGTAGGAGCTGGGACTGAACAACAGGAGCTCACCCCGTCTCAGGGATTTGAACCGCTGACCTTCCGACCAGCAAGCCCAAGGCTCAGTGGTTTACACCACAGAGCCACCCATGTCCCTCAATGTTTGTATACATTGGAGTTAATACTTTTGTAAAGGTTTGCATTTGCAAAGCAGATAAGTTCACACTGAGTGAGAGGTTTCACTCTAGGGATTCAGCTACGTTAGTAAAGAAACAGCGTTTTGTATGCATTGTAAACACGCAACACCAGAGGGCGCTGAAGAGTAAACAAAATTCTACAAGATTTTCCATAGCGTTTCCCCTCCTTTTGTTATAACGATTTAATTTCTGACTTATTTATAGTGTTTTTTCCTGTGTGTAGATCCACCCTAGGTGCCCTAAGTTCCTACCCCATTACATTTACTCACTCAATCACTCTCCTTCCCCAGCTGAACCAAACACATTTGGCAATCTAGAGAAAGGGAATGGAAGAGAAGTGGAGGCCAAGGAAAGGGTTAAACACTCCTTTATCTGTTTGCAGCTTTACCTTTCCAAAATGAAGCTCTCCCCCTGTTTTTGAGCTGGTCAGCAATGACTTGGGTCTGCCATTGAAAGTCCCGTTTTGTGGTAAAGAGGAATAGAAATATAATGCATTTCAATTTGTAAGGGAAAATATATGTGTATATATTGCAGCCTTACCTCTAGGGTAAATATATCTTCAACATTTGAAAATGTGTTACACACACATAGGTGCCTGCACTCATGACTTCAAAAATAACACCACAAAACTCCCCAAACCTTCCAGTTTAGACTATTTCCTTGGCTACGCATGAGGGAAATGAGGTTAGCTGACACTTTTATTGTTTTTGACTAGTCATTTGACTAGAGATGATGTGATACGCTGCTTTACTTTGAATATAAGAGCACTCAAAAAGTGTATGACAGCTTTTCTTAAAGTATGGTGCTACATGATAAGGATACTAAAAAAAAAAGGTATTATGAAGCAATGTGCTAAATTATAACTCTGTATTTATTTAATGTGCAGCAGCACATATTTCAAAGGATAATCTTACGATGTGCTTACCACTGTTCAGATTTTTGCATAAATAAAAATATCATGCTGCAATTTAACATCAGAGAAAATATACCATAGTTTTCGGTGATATATTGCTAATGAGATACTCTCTATCAATGTCCCTTACCACATGAATAGAGTGTTTCACACCTGAGCGAAAAAAGAAGAAGCATGATATCACCTGTGAACGAACATTTCAGCAACCGGCAGTCCTTCTTTTGGTGGAGAAATTGTGGGGAAATACATTTATTTCTGCCTGCGGACTGCCTCGCCAGAGTGGTGCATGCTCTGGTTATCTCCCGCTTGGATTACTGCAATGCGCTCTACGTGGGGCTACCTTTGAAGGTGACCCGGAAACTACAATTAATCCAGAACGCGGCAGCTAGACTGGTGACTGGGAGCGGCCGCAGAGACCACATAACACCGGTCTTGAAAGACCTACATTGGCTCCCAGTACGTTTCCGAGCACAATTCAAAGTGTTGGTGCTGACCTTTAAAGCCCTAAACGGCCTTGGTCCAGTATATCTGAAGGAGCGTCTCCACCCCCATCGTTCTACCCGGACACTGAGGTCCAGCACTGAGGGCCTTCTGGCGGTTCCCTCACTGCGAGAAGCCAAGTTACAGGGAACCAGGCAGAGGGCCTTCTCGGTAGTGGCGCCTTCCCTGTGGAACACCCTCCCACCAGATGTCAAAGAGAACAACAACTACCAGGCTTTTAGAAGACATCTGAAGGCAGCCCTGTTTCGGGAAGCTTTTAATGTTTGATGTATTATAGTATTTTAATATTCTTTTGGAAGCCGCCCAGAGTGGCCGGGGAAGCCCAGCCAGATGGGCGGGGTATAAATAATAAATTATTATTATTATTATTATTATTATTATTATTATTATTATTTACAGCATTCCATTCATTTTGATATTTAAGAAATAAATGAGGGGTTGATTACTGATTGCAGATTCTTTACTGGAGTTTTACTCTGTGTGAGAGTTAGTGGGTGTTGCAGCAAAACGTTGCAGCTAAGAGTACTCTTAGAGAATCATAGAACTGTAGAAGGGAACACGAGGGTCATATAGTCCATCCCCCTGCAATGCAGGAATCTTTTGCCCAACGTGGGACATGAACTCATGTCACTGAAATTAAGAGTGCCATGCTCTACAGACTTGTTCAGCGTTCCAACAATACACTTTTCCTGTATGCTTCATTTGGTTCCCATCTATCTGGTTTTCCTTTCCCCTGTCATTCAATCAGTACCGTGGTACCTCGGGTTAAGAAC